GTGAGTTCTATTCCAAACACCTGAAGAAATTTACTGTTGTCAGGAAAATTTTAATTTTGTCAAAGTGTTTGTTATTAATTTTTTTTGATGTTTGATTCCTAGGCGTTAGTCTTACATACCAAAAAATAAATAATAAAATAAAATAAAATCATTGCTTACACGAACAACCCAAAACTTTTATGTTGTTATTTTGGATATTTGTTAGTGTGGTGGTTATTATATTTTTTTGACAAAGTAGTACTTTATGTATGTGGCCTATATATTTTTTTTAATTTTTAAGTAGAATAGTGGTTTCCATTTTTTTTTTTTTGGTATTATTCTTGTGTTTACTACAATTTGGATGTTCAGAGAGAGGAGCATATGAAGGATGGAATAAGTGGATTGCCGGACGAAACCCTCATTGTCATCCTGTCTCTTTTAACGCTCAAGGAAGCTGCACGTACTAGTATTCTCTCACGTAGATGGAGATATTTATGGAGATATATAACTGGTAGTTTCGACTTCAATTCTAAGATACTACTAAGAACTCCTCTTTTTCGTGGGTTAGATAATGGTACTTCATCATCTATACTTGCACAAAACTTTACTAGGTTTAGGTATACATGTTGTGTGAATAATGTCTTGAAATGGCATCTTGGGTCCTGTATAGACGAAATGAGGATTTCCTTTGATTTCGGTGGGCACTACCCTCGTGATATCAATGATTGGATCAAGTTTGCAATGGAAAAGAGTGTTCAAAGGTTTGAATTGGATGTGTTTGCTGAGACATTACGGGATGTGTTTCCTGTGACATTACCCGCGTGGAGGCGTCAATATTATGATTTTCCAAGCATGGAAAACTTCAAATTCTTATTTAGGACTTCACACAGTCATCATGTGTCACAGACTATTGGTTCTGCAACTGGCTTTAGTTCCTTGACCGCCCTTCGTTTAGTCGGTGTTAATATCATGGAGGAGGTGCTTGAGAATTTCCTGTCCAACTGTCCATTTCTTGAACAATTATGCATTGTGGGTACAACATGTCTAGTGAATCTAAAAATTGCGGGCCCATCACTCAAATTGAAGTGCTTAGAGATATCTCACTGCCACTGTTTGGAAATTCTGGAAATTTCTGCAACAAATCTTATTTCATTCACCTACATGGGACGAGATATAAGTGTGCCTTTTAAAAACGTTCCTCTTCTCTCTAAGCTATCTATTGGGGGGCCATTCTGTTCATCCTTTGTTTTTGGATCTTGCAAGCATTCCACCTATATTCCTCAAATAGAAAAGCTCAAGTTAAAAGTGTGTTATGAGGTTAGAATACACAATCGTTGTGATAGTATGCTTTTTCTCTCTCTCTTTTTTATTTTTTATTTTTATGTAAACATCATTACTAACTAGTGCTTCCTTTTGGTAGGATTTTCATCTGTTCCCCATATATTTCCGTGAGCTAGGTAATCTCAAGCAAGTGGAATTGTCTATCATAGGATCTGCTGGTTGCAGCCTTCTTAGTTTAACTTCCGTGATTAGGGCATCTCCTAATTTGTCTAAGTTTTCTGTTCGGGTAAGTATCCTTTCTGTGTAATGTGAGGTATGTTTGCTGATGGAAGTATTATTGTTTTTGATTTATTAAAATTATGTGTATGATTTTAAATAGACTTTAAATGTAGAGAGATGAGAAGAAGAGAGTGAGAGGTGAAAGCAGAGAGAGACATGTATGATAGAATATAAGATCTTTGTTGAAGAGGCTGAGGAGGTGAAACTTGAAAGGGACCTTAATCCTGCCATTCTCGCCCCTGCAAGTAGATTCCCATCTAGAACTTAAAAGAGGAAACATATCGAAGTTGATTTCTTACTGAAAATATATTGATCCAAATTAAATTTAAAGAACAAGTTGAAGATGACAATTGAAAGTAATGCATTCCTAAAAAATGTCGTTCCAAATACACCCTTAATTTTGAGAACTTTGTGGGTTTGCACTTATATGATTTGAGTAACCTAAGTAAAATCTTTCATGGAGGCCTTCTGAATTTACCGCATCTAGGCGTCAAGTGTTAGGGAAAAGTAGACAGAGAGAATGGAATGGTATAAGAGGCTGAGAAATATAAGAATTTGAAAAAGAGGCAAATATCTTAAATTGTCCTCAATTATGAAAAAGGAAATTCAGGAAAAGAAAGGAGAAAGAATACATATCTAATATCATCAAGAAACATAATTTTATAAAGAGATCCGTTGATTGATCAACCCGCTGTTATCTTGGTTAGCCTTGGTTGCTATGCGTTTTCATGTGATCAACATGTGATCACTAATGAAAAAAAGTCGAAGTCTTACAATGTGTGACTCGAATGCGAAGTATATCAATATGTTATTACCAACCTAAATAAAAAGTAAGTTGTACCTAAATAAAGTGATTGAATCGATAAGGGTGAATTACCCTTACCTCCCCTGTGGTTTCACCTTTTCAACCAAATCTTCTTGTGTTAACCATCCATTGTTTCAGCTTCTAAATTCATTGTGTAGTTTGTTCTTATTTTTTTTTTTCATAGTTGGTATTCACACACACATGCCTCCACTAAGACTTGAATATTTCACCTCCTTTTGGGAAGTAAGACCTGATACCGTTAGGCCATTCGCCCATTGATTCTTGTGTTCTTCTTATTTATTTTATCTAATCTTCTTGTGTAAACAAGTTTTTGTTTGACTATCTTCCTCTATGGCAGATGATTATGGGAGAGAATGGTGAACAGGTACTAAAATTATAAATCTATAGTGGTCTAAGAGTTTGTTATATTCTTAACCTTGTCGGCAAATAATGCCTTCTCTTGTGGTGCTGGTAGGTAATAAGGGATGGTCAAATATACGCTGAAAAAGAGGCCACTAAATGTCATCATCAATGCCTGAAGGTGGTGGAATTGGTTGGGTTTGATGCGAGGCGTAGCAGTGAAGTTGATTTTGTTTTGCACATACTTGAGGTTGCCGCATCACTGGAGAAGATAATTATCGATCCACGCCCTGAAGATCCATGGCACGCCAAGGAGACGGAAGATGCTAGAGAGGGTGCTAGGCAGCTAAAAACAGTATTACCTGCAGCAGTTGAATTGGTGGTTCTTTAGTTAAAATAATAAAAAAGATCCCATTCCTATGTCTGCTGCTAGTAGGGAGGTTAACAATATGTAGTGATTATTTACTTATTCTTCTCATGTTATTCATCGCCTAAAACGCTTGGAAATATATCTGCTGGATTGCAATCAAAAGCTTCCGTGACTGGCTTTGGAAAGTGTAACATAGTACTGAATTGGATTATAAACCCTTAATGGAAATTATTAAACTGCTGAGGTTCAACATTTGTATGAATTGATCATCTCTATTTCATATATTTTGCATGCTGTTGGACCTTAATATTCACTTGCAGTAAGCTAATGTGGCTAATTGCGTCTGATTTTAGATGACTTCCATCTAAAAAGGGTGTTTCGGACACTAACAACCTTATGCTTTGATCCATTCATTCCACAATCACGAAGATAAGAAAATACTTATCTGACGGAAATGAATTGGGTTATTTCTAGTTACCGCCCATTTATGATCTGATTCAAAAATTTAAATTATCGTATAGATAGTGAGTGTTACATATCCAGCGAGAATTCCTAAAATTATTATGATAAATAAGTCAAACATAATCCATCATGTCAGATACTTGACCTAGAATTATTATGCTAAATAGGTCAATAGACTCGATACCAACATAACCCGTTGAGCTATTTTTCAAATGCTAGTTCGTTGTGGAATTGGTTGGGTTTAATCAGGATCTACATGGCAAATGTAAAGCGTGGAACCAAAAGTCCCACACAATACCAGAAATTTTACAAGAGATTCTGGCTGCACCTAAATCATTCTATGGGCTTACTAAATATCCGAAATGGATCTGATACAACATGAAATTATGAAAAAGAAATTCGGCTTTTCTATATATTATGTTGAATCTATCACAATACTCCTGTCGACCCGAATCCTCTCTATTGTAACAGTACTGTTCCGTCCAGACGGATTCAAAAGAGAATCAAAATGATTCACAGGAATCCTATATGAATAAATATATATGTAGATATACATATACATATACATAAATATATATATAAATATAAATATAGATTTTAGGGCTTTATTTGAATTCTTGCCCTTACAGGGATAACTGGTGTTCAATAGTACAACAATTATCTCTCAAGAGCTCCTCTCGACTGAACGTATCCATATCTTTCTGGCGAGTCACGGACTATCTGATTGCAAATTAGTAAAAATGTTTTCTTTCTTTTGTTTAACTTTGTTTGCACGAATTTTAGGGTTTTACAACTTGAATTGAGGGTTACTGTTTTCAAGACTTTGATGGTTTGAAATTATTGTTCTTTTACTCAATATTCAAGCTCTCTTGCCTCATGATCTTGTTCTTCCACTTGTCGGATTGTTATAACTTGTTAACACAGTGATATATGTAAGGTCTGTTTTGTAACTACAGTAGTTTTGTGCTTTGGCCTTAATTTAAAGAAAGAAGCAATTTTTTTTATTTTTTATTTTGGAGTTTAAAAACCTATTCGAAAGCATGTTTAATAATGTGTATATTTGATCTAAGATTTTTAGAAGTATGAGTATAAAAATATGTTTTTTTTTTTTTTTCTTCGATAATCGTATGTGTCCGAATTAACTTGCTTAACGACCGAGTAAGTTTCACTGTGGAGACTCGAACTGGTGACCATTGAAAAACAAACCCAAGACCTAACCAATTGAGTTACCGCAGAGTTAAATAAAAATGTTTGATAGTAAAAAAAAAAAGTAATAGAAGTTTAAAAAATTATTTAGAAATTTATTCTTATTTTTACTGCGACACAATCGGAAACACCCATTTATGAAAATAGTTGTCTGTCTATTTGACAATATATAGTAAAAGAGACATGATGAAAGACACGATTTGGTGTGTGCACTTGAATGATTCTACAAGAAACAAATAAGCTTAAAATACCTAGAACTTCAAAACAATAAAGAATGCACTTTGCTATCATAAATTTTAATGCAATTTATATATTTTTGGCAGATCATAAACTAATTTATTGTTGTTCCAAGTAATCGGATCAACTACAGATGCCTTGATAGCCCTCCGTTGGACTTTGGAGTGTCAGGCTTCGACTTTCTACATCTATTAATCTAACTTCTAACCCTTCTTGCCTTGTAAATAATAATAATAATCGGATCAACTTGGCAAATGTAAAGCTCCTAAATCCTCATATGGGCATGCTAAATATCCAAAATGGATCTGATAAGAACAGGAAATAATGAAAAGGAAAATCGGTTTTTCTATATATACTGAATCTATAAAGTTCGTCAGGTGTGCATGAAGTTACGTAAGGTTGCTCATCATCCTTTAACGCAGCTTTTTTCTGAATGAGCCGTAAGGTTGCTCATCATCCTTTACGCAGCTTTTTTCTGAATGAGCCGTTTGAATCGATGCTTGACCTTTGCATAGTAGCATACAAAATTGCAAAGATTGCCAACCGCATATGTAAGACTGCAAATTTAATATGATGTTTCAATGGCTTCATGGTCCTGAGTCTTGTACACAAAACCTGATTCATCATGGGACTGCCTTTTAATCACACTTGCTCTCTGCATTAACCGAACCAGTGCTTGCACAACTTCAGACATGGGAGGCCGAAACTCCGGTTCAGGCTGTATGGAAAATACAAGTACAGAATTAATCAATTTTCACTGATGAGAAGTACATTTGGCAGACTTTGACTGGACCGGCACTCCCGTCCAGGGCTGCATTTTCCATCCCTCCGGGCAAATATCTTTCGAATTAGATAATTTAGATGACAAAATGAGTAACATAAAACAGATTAATTCTGACTGATGAGAAGAATTTCTTTCAATGCGTGTGAAGAAAATTCTTCTCACGATTACAGAAGTTAGAGTAACACAAGATCAACTTATCCTCAAACATGTATATATGGCTTATCAGAAGCTAAGCTTAACACGGCAACTACTGGGCTTGGTATTGGAGAAAAAATTTTACCTGAACGCAGAGGGCAACAATGTCAGCAAAGCGTGACAAAGACTTGGCAGGATACATGCCATTTAGTACTGGATCAACCATTTTTGCTAAGGCATCTATATCATGAAGTTGAGGAGTAGCCCATCTTACAAGTGACTGTTCTGATCTCACCCTTGAACTAAAGGACAGAAAAACCGAAAAGGAAGAAAAAGTGAGAGAAACGTAAATTTTTTGACGAAACCATTAATAAATTTCAAGAATGTAAATATGAGATGCAACTATTCAGTAATGTAGGATGGATTTTACCTATCCAGCGGTTTCCGACCCGTCAACAGCTCCAACATCACCACTCCAAAGCTATAAACATCACTTTTTGCAGTGTATATCCCAGACAAGACAAACTCAGGAGCACTGTAACCAAATGAACCAACCATCTGGGCTGATGAAAGCTGTCAAACATTGTTAAAATAATTCAGATCAACCTGATATAACCAAAAAAGGGGGGAAATAAGAAGGAAAAAAAAAAAAAAGGAAACATATATTTAGACAGAATATCAGTATCACAATAGTTGCATGAGGGAAATGAATGCTTGCTTGCCGCGCCTGTAAACCTCTAATGATCTATTTCTTGGATAAGTATAGACCGTTTGTAACATTAAGACTATACTACTTTTTTCATTGATACTCCCAATTTTATTAAGAAACCATCTAAAACTTCATTCATGATGCAAATGCATTTGAGAAGACCATGTGGATGAAGGGGCACAACAGCTTTAATGAATATGGATAAAAAAATTCAGCCCAATCAATGTACCTGTCGCTCTGTGTTTGGTGTTAAAGCAGCTAGGCCACAGTCTGATAAGTGGGGATTGAGCTCTTCATCAAGTAAAATATTTGCCGACTTGAAGTTTTTATGTACAACAGAAGGCAGACACACTTCATGCAAATACCTGAGGGGCGCAGCATTGGTTTATAAAAGAGAGAGATAGAAATATATATATATATATATATATATATATATATAGAGAGAGAGAGAGAGAGAGAGAGAGAGAGAGAGAGAGAGTTCAGAACTTCTAGACGTATTACATACTCTAGAGCTCGAGCGGTACCAAGTGCCACTCTAACACGTGCATTCCATGTCAGTGTCTTACTCCTATCATCGGCAAAGTGCAGCATATCATGCAAGCTCCCTTTTCCTATATATTCATAAACAAGAAGACGTTGCCCATGCTCTGAACAATATCCCACCAATGTAATGATGTTTGACTGCCTCAGGCGTGACATATTGGAAACAGCTTCAAGAAAATTATCTTCCTCCTGTAGTGATAATGCTGCATTGTCGATCTTTTTAATGGCCAATATCTAGAACAAACAATACATCAAAAAAAAATAGTTTATATCATTAAATAATGTATAACTTATAATTAGAAAAGTAAGCCTTGTATTTCAGTTGATGTGGCAGTGCCCTATCTAACCACAATTGTAAAAACAGGAAGCGTACAATGTGAGTATGAGACATTAGTTACTCATCATGCACTTGACACAAAACTGGATTCGTCTGCCATCAACATGTTATCATAGATAGTCCAACCAAATATCAAAAGGAAGTGCAGTTAAGATGTCTTTTTTCAAACATTTGATGTGACTCATTGACCATGGATTCATGGAAAATCTAAAATAGCTGGGCTCAGTCAGCATGAAAGTTGGCATTTAATCCACGACATCAAAACTGAAGTGCAGAACCAAATTATGGTTCAAAAAACTCAATCCTAAAGTTGGAGAAGTTTAGAAATCGTACATATATATGTAGGCTAGTGCTTGTGTATGTACGTAAATATGTATATGAATATATACACAATTTGATATCTCCCCTCCTACTCCCATGCTTACTTCAATAAACCTTCCATCATTTGTTTTTCAATATGGTAAAAATTTATATTAAACCTATCATTTGATTTCTCCTACACCTTTTTTTTTTCCAATACTAAAAGAGAATCTTATCCAATGTCATTGGTCACATGTTAGCATAAGTTCAAGAAGGTGTCAATTATGTGTCTGGAAATTGATAATTTTATTTATTTTTTTAATTATAAACATGTACAATATGTAAAAGTCACACATCAGAAAGCGTGAAAGAAATGTCGATGCTTGTCACGTGTCTGAAATGAACATGGTTCCTCCTAGAAGTGCTTGTATTTCTTAGTCATTTAGTTGCTCGAATCTTAGCAAAATATTTGTGAGTTGTTGTTGTTCAAGTTGTATGACCATGTCTGAAGAAGACAGCAGTTACACCTCTGAGAAAATAATGCATGAAGAACTGGAAGACCAAAAACCATGTGGATTCAGATAATGAGAAAATATGTTGGCGAAAATAAACCTCAAAAATGACTCTAGACAGCAGAATCGCAAAACAGCATAGCTGATTAAGATGCTTTTTGAATCAAGTAATTCCACACTTGAACCATAACTCGGAATTCAGAAAGCATTTAAGCATTGTTGATTGACAATACAAAGGAAAGTGCTGATTATGTAGACAAAATAAGCAAGATTACCAACATCCAATATAACATGTTACAAAGACATGGACAAAAATCTTGTCATCCAATTTCCAGTAACGAGGATCTCTTGGGTGCAATATAATCGTGGAATTTCAATGAGAAGTGAGACACAAGCAGCTAAAGAAGAATTAAATAAGTGCCTTCATTGATGGGTCATACATAGTTAGATAAAAAAAAACTACTAATCTGTGATGGAACCAAAGAAAGCTTGCAGAAAAGCTGTTAATTGATAAAAACAAATTGGTTCTTGGATTGAAAATCACTTGGGAACTACAAGGGAGAGGTGAAAGTGCAACACAAGAAAAATAACAAAGACAGCAATTTTCTTTTTTATGGACTTAATATGGACAGATTTGTCACATAAAAGATTATCTTAATCTGCAATGCAATGAAACCAACCTCCGGCAAAGCAATTAAGCAACAGAAATTATTTGGTTCTTAGATTAGAAGTCCCTTGAAATGCAATGCTCTCCTAGATCTTACTGCCCTCACTATTGTTTAAAGCCTTAATTCAGGACTAGCAACCGTGTCATTAAGAGTCTACATCACAAAAATATTAAACTACTATACTGCAGGATCATTAAAACACAACGGGGGAGCTAGTCTAGAGAACTGCCTCACCTTCTTAAGCATAAATACTCTCCATCACTTCATATGGAATATAAATTTAGGTACAACTATAACATGGTGAGATTACCTTTCCATTGGGAAACTCTGCTCTATAAACACGACCAAGTGAGCCTTCACCAATGATATTTTCTTGGCTAAAGCTGTTTGTTGCTATCTGAAGAGAAGCAACTGTATAAGAAGTAGCAGTTATAGGGGACTTCACCCTCTTTACAGATCCATTTTTCCCTTGCATCTTCTCAACCATCACCTTTTCTGCAGGTGGGGGCTTTAGATCTGCTACAGTAGCCATGGGTGTTAGCCTCTGCTCTTGCATCTCTGTATTCACTACAAAGTGAAACAAATTGCGTCATGGAAGAGGTCAGCAAGCCAGCACGAGTCAGACTAGATTGCAACACTAACAAAAATTCAGAAATAGACTTCTCGTCCTGTCTACTCTAATTTATTGGACAGCATTCTTATCGACAGCATTCACGTTGTTTTTAAGTGAAGGAATTCACAACGGGGACAGGTGCACTGAGCTGCCCCTGTGAATCAGTTATATCCCATTCTGACGTGTGATCTACCAAATTGCACTATTAACAAAATTTTGGTTCACCATATTCTAAACTCCTAAAATTAAGGTTCTAACATATAACTCTAGGTTAAAGTTCAGGCCATCTTTGCTTGTCAAAAATAAATAAATAAATAAAATCAGGTCATCTTACAGCTTCAAAGTGTTTTTTAATTGTAGAATACTTACCAAAGAAGAAAAACTGAGACAACATGAAACTACAGAGTGGTTGACAAGCAACAAAGAATGTTAAAGAAGGTAAATAATTGAAGGAAAAAAAAAAATGATGAGTCTGCAATGGTTCATACTGTGCAGATAAGCTGAATGAGTGCACCAGCACAAAGGAATAATTTGTATTAAATTAGAATAATAAAAATCAAATGGACTGAGTGTAGAGTGGAGAGAAGAGATACAATGGCTTAAAATGAAAGCACATATTAAGAACTAGATAGAGCTGTCACTACGGAGGAATCAGATTTGTTAAACCAGTCCCAAATAATTTGGATGTATGGTTTGTTGAGTTATAGTTGATTCGATGTGTGCTTTCTCAATGATTAATATCTTTGCAAAATAATTTTACAAAGTATAACAAATTTTCATAATATCTGCAATGTATAACTTGATAAGTAATGTACAAAAAGAGGTGCTAAAACAGTTGATGGGAACGCTTCCGAAAGTAACCAGCTGTAGTCATCAGATTCCAACAGTTGGATTTCTTTTCTGCCATATGAAACATCAAGCTAATACAAACATGAAAGAAGATTAACATTTGTTTTATTTTGTTAAAAAAACAAATTAATTAAGAATACCCCCAAAAGAGGGTTTTATAAGAAAGATACTAAAGGGACACTTTCCAGTATCTGAAAACATATTAAACCACCTTCCTACCCACATGTTAAATCAGATTAAACAAAAATGAGGGTATTTTCAGAAAACAAAATGAAAAATAAAACATAATGGGTAAACAAAGAATAGTTTTTTTTTTCCCAAGACCTACCTTTGTCTGTGCCACGGATGAGAACTCCTGTAGAAGTTCTTACAGTTTTTTCTCTCCTTTTGCCCCTTCGAAAGCAAAAAAGAAGAGCAAGCAATAAAGAGAAGACCACCAAAGAAGAAGCTAGAATTATGCCTATAATAGCTCCAGCTCTCAATTCCTTCTTTTTATTTCCATCATCTGGATTAGATGATTCTCCATCAGATCCCCGGGATGTACGTGCCCCTGGAAGAGAATGGCTGTGGTTGTTATGCGACCTACTGGGAGGAGGTGAGGTATATGGAGGTGGAGGAGGAGCAGGTCCATTATCAAATGAATTTCCATCATATCTGTTTTATTTTAAACGCCAAATTAGAAACATTTAATAAGTTTAATATTACAACACATACGGATATAGAATAAATATGACATTTAATAGCTTACCTAAAATTAGGGATAGAACTAAGCACTTGTGGAATCCATCCATTAAAATGGTTGTTTGCAACATTTCTGAGTAAAATTTAACGCATAAGTAATGACAGATGTGCACATTTAAAACCTTGACCCCAACATAAGAAAATCAACTTACAGATCAGTCAAAGGCAAATCAGCAAGAAAGTTAAGAGAACCCGTCAACTGATTGTTCTGCAGGTGACTGCCACAAATCCAGATATCATGACATGTTCAAACAAACTGAACAAAAAACTTCAAATAGTAGCACTTTGTTACACTCACAGGGTAGAAAGATTGGACAATGAACCAAAGGAACTGGGAAGATCTCCAGTAAAGTTGTTAAAAGAGAGATCCCTGCATTCACAAGCATGTCAATCCTAGATATACTCAGCCACACTGAGAAGAATCGTGACTGAAGGCTTCAGATATTAGTGTTATTTTTTATATTATAAGAATGTGATTTCACCCAGATCCATTTTTAAAACCTTCATAGGTGTTTCTGTAGGTTGATTTGACTGTTGATAATAGAAAATTAATGGTGGTTTTTTATTAAAATTTTAAAATTTACTATCTTTAACTTGTTGTATGATCTCAGCAACAAACATATGTCACATTAATGATCCATGCTAAGCCAGCTAATATTCTATGAACCAAAATGATCAAACAAAGATGAAATCTGACAAAAATCTAGCTTCAAGACCTGGTGATACCGGGTAATATAATTTCTCGAGCAACTAATTGGTACAATTGGAGAGAGAGTGACCAAGAGATTCATATGGTCTTCATTGGCTTAAGAAAAGCATATGGAAAGATCCTTGATAGATCCTGCGGTGTCTTTCATAAAGGAAATGAGTCTAGTCCAGATTTATTAATAGGATTAAAGAAGATGTATGATGGAGCTGTATCTCAAAGAAAACAATAAACATCCATAAAAAATTGGCATTAATCCCCAGATTCTGTAATTGGTTATGAAACAATTTTGTATTCTTTATAAAGACTAGTTTTAGATAAGATGACCAGAACAGTGGGAAACACTAGGAGACAAGACAAGGGAGTGAAAAAAGTGTAACAGATTAATGTAAGAATAAGAAATGTTAGGACCTAACATATACTTACTATGTAACTTAATAATATTGGAAAGAGCAAGGATTGAGGAAACTTAAGATCAGCCACCAAGAGAATTTTAAACATGACATTTGACCAAAGAAAGTGAGTTCAAAGGAGGACATCACCTAATAGATTGAGGCAGATGGATGAAGTTGATAAGTGCTCTGTTGTGTAATTGAAGGCACAAATTTGATTGAAACTCAAAAAGCACAATATCTACAGTTGAACTTCGCAAAATAAGCATTTAGGATGAGTAATTGGCAATGCAGAAGGGAAAAGAACTAAAACACATTCTTTCACGCAGAGTTAGAGACAGCACTCTTCGAGAACAAGTCCTCATAACCAATCTTTAAAGATCAGAATGTGCATCTCACATGAATATCTAAACAAGTGGGAACCACAAATATATATAATATGTGTGTGTATTTGAATCCTCAATTTCCCATCCCCCATCATACACACACACTCTTCTTAAATCTCACAGAGCAAGCAGATGTTTTAACTATTCATATACCAATATAAGTATGTATGTTTGCTGTTCTTTTGAGTGTGATGGCATTATAGTTGAGAACGCCACCAGAGTCATCTCATAGGAACCTTCATCAAATAAAAATAAATAAATAAAAAATCCAGCCTTTATGTATTTTCATCACATTCCACCTCATCAACTCAGTAGATTGTTCAGTCTAGTTTCAATGTGCACAGGATTGTTGTGAATCATAGTGGCTACCAAATCAGTACATGTGTATATAGAAAATTATTGAGAGCAAAATCACAATCAGCATTATGATAATGATATTCAAACTAATAATTCAAGATACAAGCATAATAATTCATTTAGTACAATTAAAGTGAAATGAAAAGAAGATTAATAAGGCACTCCTGATGATCATTAAGGATGTGCACGTGATATACTGGACCTTTCAGGCGATGCTTGCAAGATAATCAATCAGTTTAACTGGATCTATATTTCTAAGTAGCTAGAAAATTCCCAGACAGTTTAGCACCTCTTTTTTTTAATGAGAAACACAAATTTTATGAAGAAGGGGAAAAGAAACACAAATAGAGGAGATCTCCTTCCCAAGGGAAAATACTAAAGTAAAAAACTGAACAGCAAGTAAGAACAAAGAAAAGAGCACGTACTCCAGCAAGAAAACAACAATGTAAATATCCGAGGTGGTTGATAAAGAGTTCCACTTACAAGACCAATTTTACTAAGTGATTGGAGTTTATTTGCCTCAAGGAAGTTCAAGGATATGAATGGAACTAAGATTAGTTGATAAAGACTAACCATGAGACTGAAGTCACTTGCTGAAAAATAATAGTCAAAATCTTATCCAAAACAAACTAAGACCAACTGAATGATAATAAACATTTATACAAATCAGATATCTTACAGCATAGTGAGGCCAGAAAGATTAGCAAATATATCTCCAATCAACTGAGAGAGTGTGTTTTGGCTAATGTTCCTGAAAAAAAATAATAATAATAAATAAACACTTTAGGGTTAGGCTATAGGAAAGACTCCAGAATTTAACTGAAAAAGGTAAATCTTATATATGCAAAAAGATATCAATCACATTTAGACGTCACACTTACATATAATTAAGAGTAGTCATGTTAGAAATGGAATAAGGAAGGTTCCCACTTAAGTTGTTGTTTGCAAGATTTCTGCAATGAAAAATAGATAAGCATAAGCATACAAACAATTTAAACAAAACATTTTTAAAAGACAAACAATCAAAGAAAGATTCAACATTACAGGCTCGTGAGATTCGGTGGTAACTGATATGGGATTGAATCATGAATGCTGTTGTCACTCATATCTCTACAGCAAACAAATATAAAAGGAATTAAAAAACCCAGCTAGCTCCAAGTAGTCTTGAAAAGTAGATAAATCGAAAGTTTCCTCACAATGTCCTCAACGACATAAAATTTGAAAGCAAGTATCCCATTGTCCCGCTGAGTCCTAACCCTGGAATTTGACTGTTAAACCAACAAGAATATGCCTCGTTAGCCAAATTATTTACTGAAGGTACAAATTTAAAGAACAGGGGATCACACATATTTATACATGCGTATATAATTCACATGAACATACACAATTTAAACAACACGCTACTATGAGATCACGCCTAATATAAACGTGTCATGTGTGTGTATATAGATTCACACTCACATGGAAACAACAGCAGAACCCTGGCAGCTGACCCCTTTCCATGACTCTCCACACGGATCGCCCCCAGTCGCTTTCCAACCACTTAGCTGCGAAGGATTATTCAATGAAGTGTACATAACCTCAAGAGCTTGAACTGTAACTCAAACAAAACCACAGTCAGAACCCCCAAAACTCACAATTCCTAAACACATTCACATCAAATTATTAAAATAACAATACATACAGGTATATTTATACACACATAGATACTACATAAATATATATACATATAATCCCACCCAAAACTAAATAATTCCTAAACACATTCACATCAAATGATTTAATTAACAATACATGCAGGTATACGCCGAATATTTATTTATACACACATACTACATAAATATTTATACATATATATTAACAAAACTAAGATCTTGCCTAAATTTTGAATGCTAAATTCTTGACTTGCATCGATTCTAAACCCCATTACAAACCAATAGAATACTTCAAACTCACTAAAATCACATTGCATTGCCAAACAATCAATCCATTACAAAACCAAACATTTAAGGCAAATCAAAATGATTCAAACGAAGAAAAGAGTACCGTCAGGTGGATCAGTAGTCGAATCAACAAATGTAATAGCAAAAACCATCGTCGTCGCGACTAGAACAAACTCAGTAAGAGACAGAGAGCTTGTTCCGTGCTTTGCCATTTTTCACAATGGTTACAGTCAGAGTTCTGGTGTTGACCTAGCAACCATGCAAGAGAGGCAGTGAACTGAAGGCGAAGAGGAGTAAATGCGATCGTCTAAAACGAGACATGCCATTGTAATGAAGAGAGAGAAAGTGTGTCTCTTACTCTATTTGTGTTTTGTTTTACACTATTACTATGTGTACCTTGTGTGTGTCGGCGAAACGTGTGTGTTACCTTCCGAAAAAAAAAATGTATGTGTGTGAGAGAGGGGAAAATTGTAACCAGGCGAAAAGTTGGTTTGAAGCAGGCAGGGATTACACGAATCTCACTTTTCAAGTCTCTTTCCTCTCTGTGCGAGAAGAGTGGACCAGTATTTAACTGTGAGGGTGGAAGGTCTAAACTGCCATTCATGAATGATGTCTATTGCGATAATGCCATTCTTGTTCTCTGCGAAGACCACCGACGATTTTGAACGACTGGAGTCAATAGACTGGGCAAAGTGGCAGGCAGATAGGGAACCGGTGTTTAGGGAATCTTGAGTAAAATGACTAAACTATCCTGATGTGCAAAGGTAGGGGACTTTTGGCCTTTTCTGACTGTGGACTAATTTGAAATTTTGATTTTTTTTTTTCTCTTGAACAGGTAATACTACTGCTGGTACTCAATAATTAAGAAAATACTTGTCTACTCACAAGTAAGTAGAAAGTTTATATTTATTCTGATGTGGTACAAAATTAATAAAACACGTGTTTCTATAATATAAATAATAAAAATTAAAAGATTTGAGTGGTTATTCGGATTAAAGCTAATATGATCCAAATCTAACTCACTCTCACCCTACTAAACATTTTTAACTAAAATTCTTAAATAAAATAATACAAGAAATGTAATGATATATATATATATATTTATTTTTTACCAAAAAAAAAAGAAAACAAAAAATAAGCAATAACAATCTATCATGCAATTAACAAATCATCTATCAAACCATTTGAACCATATTTTATATAAATGGATGTACTTTAGATAAAAACAATCGATAAGTATATATAAGGATTACACATTAAACCATGAAAGATAAAAGTTAAAACTTTCAATATTAGCATATAAGGGTTTTAACATTTGAGAGAGAAAAAGAGAGGGAGATAATTAAATTATGATTTGATTTACATCATTTTGGATTAACCCGATAAGTATTTAATTTTTATAATTTTTATTCTTTTTTTATTTTAGCAACAAATTTTGTGCCGTGCCAAGATAAGCATGAATTTCCTACTCACGTCCCAATAATTAATAGATATTTTCAAATTTTGTTTTAAAATGAATATGTAGATATTTGGCCGTTGACAACATCCTCAGGTTTGTAACTTAGGGTGGGTCCCGAAAGGGCTCTACCTAAGGGAGTTCCTGATGCCAATAAAAAAAAAATACGGAGTATGTAGATATTAATTGCATGACTTTAGGGTTATCAAAATAAGTTGTTTAATTATGTTGCACGACTGAAAAAGTAAAAGACAGTTTCATAAGTGGATGATGCTTATATTAAACTTGTTTCGGACTCTTCTTTTTTTTTTTTTTTTTTTTTTTTCTTTTTTTAAAATTAATCTATTCAATACTTTTATTAACACATAAATCATACATTAAAAAAATATGTTACTACATGCTTAATTTAGAATAGGGGTAAATGATAGGGAGTTGGACCGTTGATAAATTCAACTAATATTTTGTGAATAGAAGGTGATATCATCATAATGTCAACTTTATTTACATAAATAAATAGGAATTATTCTACTTTCGAACTGTCAATCATTATTCTTTTCATATTGAATTTGCTTTTAATAATTTTAATTAATTTATATCAAGCATGTTTTCATAATCTTTCAATTCAAGTGCAAGCTAGTGTGACATTTGGATAACAAAATCAAGTAATTCGATAACATAATTCAAGCGTGACCAAGCCAAATTAGAATAAGAAATCACGTTGTATGGTTCATTTTATAACCAATGGCCGTGTAGTCTAGATGATCAATGATTCAAGTCTATAAATAAACAAAAATAAATGTGTAAATGTGTTTCTTATCTTGAAAAAAAAAAAATAATAATAATTCATTTTATAGGTTGAATCAACAAGGATTGAATTTTTGAAATCGTTTCAAATAAATTTTACTAAATTTAATAATTCACTTATTATGATTTAATGGATTGTTTAAGTAGTACCTCATTAAATGACCCTTTCCAGCTTAAAAAAGAACCTAGATCAGTTGAAATGCAAATTGAATTGACCACAATTTATTTATAAGCATTTTTGGTTATTGAGAAACAAGAATTGATGAGGTTGGTCGCTTGAGACCGAAGAAGTTATTGTAAAACAGCGTGCCAACAACTAACTACTGGGCCCCATTTTTAGGTTGCAAATCTGATCTTCGTACCATATTTTTTTCAATTTATGTACTTGTAAAATTTAATTCAGTTGCATGTCAAACATGCCTCATTTGATAATTGTATGGCATTGCAAATATGTGTTGACCAATAGCTTACATGGGCCTAGGTGTCCATAGCTTGCACTACAAGAATTTGTGCTCAATATGAGTCACTTATAGGATATTTTAGTACTATTATTTTATTTTTAATTATTAGTTAATTTACTAGTCATGTCTAGTGTAGTAATGGAGGAAACTTTTTTTTATTTTTTATTTTATATTTTATAAGTAGTAATGGAGGAAACTTGTATGTGTTGCAAGCGTCAACGAATTGTAGTACAGGGAGGGACATTGACAAATAACTTGAATAAGTATCATTTTCATTTGATTTCATGATTAGGCAAGTGATGACATAGAGCCATAAATAATCATTATTATACTTCTCCATGGTTCTTATTTCTTAATAAAGAATCATAATAATACCTCTCCATGGTTCTTATTTCTTAGGTCCTTTGTCACGTGTTTTATTTCTGTTATTTTTATTTTTAAATTATTACAATATTAATTTTGAAAATGAAAATATATTTGGTTTGATCTTGTTTTATTTTATATTAAAAAAATGTTCTACTTGTTTTGACAACGGTTCATTGTCCAAAATTATAATTGTTCATATTTCTATTTTTGACATCGTCATAATAAAGTATTGTTCTCAAACGTGCTTTCGATTTTTTTTCAATCCTATACCAAAAATAGAAAAAAAATCAATCCTATAACAAAAATACTGTTTCTGTTTTAACCAACAATAAAACGCCTAAAACAAAACGCAGAAAAAAAATCAATCCTATAACAAAAATACTGTTTCTGTTTTAACCAACAATAAAACGCCTAAAACAAAACGCATGTGAAACGTGTCTTTAAAGTGGGAGACTGTATCATATATGTATTCATTTATATGATATATATATATATATATATATATATATATATAATTAACTTTACCATTATTGCTCTCATAATTAAAAGAAAACAAAGTAAAATTAGTATAAGTTTTTCTTCTTTTGAAAATTTAAACGAAATGAATTTTCAGACTCAAAAAATTAAAAATAATATTTGGTTCTGATTTTAAATATATATATATATATATATATATATTCTTGAAAACTAAAAATTGAAAGCCTACTCAAGCAAAACTTCTAACTTCTGATGTTATATTTAGACAAAAATAACTTCCTTTAATTCTATAATTTTATCATTCTACCAAATAATAAGAAGTCAGCTGTCACATTATCCTTAAACCGAACTATAATAGATTGATAGATGTCTTAGTGATTCAAAAAAAAAAAAAAAACTTCAAAAATTGCTCACCACTCTGCTCTCTCCAATCTTATTGCCGAAGGTGATTGTAAGAATCTCATTTTTGTGCACATTTTCTTGGAAAAAGTCAATCCACAAATATATATGTTTGTGTGTGTAAAGTTCCTGTATTTGTGTATGCATTGATCATCATTTCTCCAACTTCTCACTTGGAAGAATTTGGGAACCTCTGTATTAAGCCTTTCTTGATCTTATTATGCACGGAGATTGGAATGGACAAAATCAGCCACATTAGCTTACTGGTATATCAGTAATTAATTATTAAGGTCCAACAGTCTGCAAAAGATATGAAATAGAGATGATCATTTCATACAAATGTTGACTTGCAACAGAGAGAATAAATTTAACAATTTCCGTTGAGGGTTTTATAATCCAACAATACTATGTTACACTTTCCAAAGCCAATCATAGAAGCTTCGCTTTACTTTGGATCGTAATCCCGCATATACATTTCCAAGCCTTTCAGATGATGAATAACATGAGAAGAATAAGTAAATAATCGCTAGAAAATTGTTACCATCCCTACTAGTAGACATACTGTAACATCCACTATTTTTTAAAATTTAATTTTAAATATATACATATATTTATAATTAGCTTGTCAGTAAATATTAGTAAACGGGTATATATATATTTATATACACGCGCGATATATATAGATATGGATAAATAAGGATTTATAGAAGGATAAATGCATATTTATTTATTTGTTTTAAAAAGAATGTGAATCATATATCGAGATTCTCTCTCACGATGGCGGAAATATCTCCAACTGACCATGATATAGACCATTATAAACCGTCAAGGGAGGTGTAAGAGTAATGTCTTCTATATAGGAGTTGTTTCCAAAATAAGAAGGAAAATCTTCAATATATGAAGAGTTGCAAGTAGAGAAGGAGAAGGAAGTTTCAACGTGAAGGAAATCTTCTGGAAATAGTTACGTCTCAGAAGAGTTAGAAGGCAAGTAAACCTTGCTATATTTTATTTCCAGTTGTACGGTATTTTGGTTTTATTTTAATGGTGAGTTAACAATGATGCATGATATTGTGTGGATTTTAGTGGGTGAATCCTTGAGTGCGGAAAATTACCCTCTTACCTTGACGAATCTTTGGAATCTCCATTAGGAATTAATGACAGAGTTTTGGGCGAATTAAATCTCTGGTTATTCCGAGGGATGTTGTTTCTATTTTAATTGATTTATATGGAATATTTGATTTCATATATATATATATATATATATATATATATCCTTGTATGAATGTACATATACACAAAGAAATCAGAAAGACTTGGGTTAATGATAGCTAACTATGGACTGCTAGTAATTTAGGTAGGATTTGTAATTCTCTGATTCCATATATATATAAATAGATATGTGTGTGTCTGTGAGAGCATATTAACTTTGTTACTGTAATTCAGTAGTTCAAATGGTGATTTTTGGGTGGTGACATGATGTGATTTGAAATAGGTTGCCAAGGAATTAGACTACTGGATTTTTGTATGAAGGGGAGCATTTAATTTCTGAACCTTAATATTTCATCACTGAGGTCAAATCTTTAGAATTTACCTATTAGGCTTGAATTGAGGATATAGATTTGAGGTTGTTGAACTTGGAGATTTTAATGGTAATTTAACTGGAAATTGGATGTGCAGACATCATAGAGGAAAGTATATGATATTAAATGTTAGCAAAAGTTATGGAGATTAAATTAGTAATCCTGACTGGTGGACTGGGCTACTGATTTTAAATTAATACATAATAGTTCTGTATGTTGTTTTATCTGTGGGAAATAAGATAAATATAGCTATTAATATCAGAGAATCTTCTAATAACTACCTGCAATTTATTTTGGGGTGTGGTTAATAGTATAGAAATTGGAATTAAGCTAATAGATGGGTTTTGGGTCTATTTGATTAAACAGTTCCAAAAAGTTTTACGCTAGATCTTTGTGAGAGAGATAAGAATTGTCGTTAATTAATTATTTGATTAATTATGTTGGATTGTGATGGGTATACGAAGATATAATCTAAGTACTTAAAGATTTTTATAAGTAGTACTCATTTCATAATTGGAAGCGATGGCAGGATTTGTTCCTTATCTATTTTTGGTTGACTGGATACGTTCCTTACTACATACTGAAAGGTGGGATTCGTTCCTTACCTATTTTTGGTTGGTTGGATTTGTTCCTTACCCCATACTGGCAAGTTGGATTTGTTCCTTACTTATGGGTTGGATTTGTTCCTTACCACATACTAGCAGGTTGGATTTGTTCCTTACCTGTGGGTTGGATTTGTTCCTTAACCAAAATACCGTAATTCAAGCAAGTACTTGTGAAAGTAATTGATTAATTATTGGAAGGTTAATGGTTCCTTAATTATTTAAGCTGGGAAGCTAATTACTTTATATAATAAAGTTATGAAAGGAGAAGGTTTAGAAAATATTTTGCTATGATATATTGTACAGTTGTTTGTAAGGTGTAGTAAGAGTTTATTACTTGTTGAGCTGTGAGCTCACCCTTTATTTAACATTTCAGGTAAGGCGCCTATGGAGCAGAATTGATGTTGCTATAACAAGCTTACTTAATAAATGTTTAGTTTATTTTTATTGTATGCAAGACATTTTAGAGTGGACTAATGTAACTAAAGGATTTTATTCCTCGTTGTGCGTATGAAACACCATATTTTCTCCTTTTATGTACGGTTACTTATTTCTAGTAAATAATTCAGTTATTGGTTTTTATTTTGGTTCATGATGAGATTTAAGTTTTAGTCATGCCATGTAATGTTTTGGGTGAGGGAACCCTTTATTGAAATTGGGGCGTGACACATACTAAAGAATCATTAATTTAATTGTTGCAAATAATTTTGCTTTTAGCTGTCTGACACGCTCTTTAGCAGCTTCCATTGTCTTGACTTGCGTTGAATGTCCGACGTATAACACAGGTTGAGAATCAATTATTATTTTCTCCCAATAGAACATTGTTACGTATTTCCTTTGATTATATTTGTCGTTATATTCTTCCAGTTCATGGCATCTCTGTTAGTTGGTTGAGGCCTATTAAACAGGAAAGAAATAGTCTTCTCCTGAACTAATTGCAAGTTAACTTCTTTTGTTATTTTGTTGGTAGAGTCCTCTTAATTCTCTATGTTGGTTGGTAGAGTCCTACTGATACTGATTTTCTGTTGTAAGTTGCTTATATTTAAGTTGGAGGAATCATGAATAAAGTATGCTTATCCATTGTTCAACCTTGAGTTGTATCAGAGGTATCGGTTCCTCAATTAACCGTTAAATTATGGAGAAGCTTTCTGAGCTTTTCGAAAAGCTCAATTTGCGACCCAACCCTGACCGTGATGAAGGAGAGCACTCAGTAGCTATACTTCAAAATTTTGGAAATCGACTTAATAATGGCAATGGAACTCGACAAAATGGATCGCAATAGTCTTATCTTCCTAAGATTGTTAAACTTGATTTTCCTCGTTTCAAAGGCGAAGAAGACACAACAAGTTGGATTTGTAGGGTGGAGCAATTTTTTGAATTCCATCAAACACTCGAAGAAGAATGTGTGGCACTTGCATCCTTCCATTTGGAGGGAGATGCCCAGTTTTGGTTCCAGATGCTAAAATAACAAGGGGCTGTGGTGACTTGGCAAGAATTTCGCGATGGGTTACATGATCGTTATGGGCCCACTCAATTCCACGACTTCTTTGGAAAACTAATCAAGTTACAGCAACTTGGTTCGGTACGAGACTCTCAAACATAATTTGAGAAGTTGTTATCCAAGGTAGGGTTCCTTCCCCAAGCTCGCCAAATGAGTTGTTTCATTAGTGGCTTGAAAGAAAATATAAAGGCTGATGTATTGGCTGGGCGTCCTACATCTCTATCGGATGCCATTGGCCTAGCTCGTTTATATGAAACTCAAAATTTATCACAACGGCGATCTACACCAGTAGGGGAGTCAAAAAACAATCTTTTCACCACCAAGGAAATGGTTACCAACAGCTCTACTCCTCCAGTTTGGTGATTATCACAAGCTGAAATGCAAGAGCGACGTGTTAAGGGGTTGTGCTACAATTGTAATGAAAAATTCGTTCCAGGGCATCGATGCAAGAAATTGTTCCTAATTGAAGTATGTAATGAGGAAAATGATGAAGATGTTGTAATGGATGAAGAGGAAGCTATTAACGAAGATGCTAAAGCGATGCCAGAAATCTCCCTCCATGTTATTGCTGGCACGAATGCGGCAGAAACAATGCGTGTTAAAGGAGACATTGGGTATACATCTACTATAGTTTTAGTGGATTCAGGTAGCACTCATAATTTTATGAGTGAAGTCCTTGCGCAGAAAATGGGGTTACCACCCAAGGAAGGAGGACGATTTGAAGTCATGGTAGCTTCAAGCGAAAGATTGACCAGTCCTGGTATGTGCACTAATGTCAAATTAAATTTGCAGGGAGTACCTATTTATGTGGATCTTTATTTACTTCCCTTAGAAAGATACGATATTGTCTTGGGTACACAGTGGTTGCGAACATTAGGACCCATTTTGTGGGACTTCGATAAATTACAAATGATGTTCAAGGTGGCTAATCAAGAGGTGGTCCTTCAAGGTCTATCCATTCCAAAGAATAAATTAATTGGAGACCTACGGTTCAGTCATGAGGTTAAGAAGTGCAAAAAGGGAGTATTGCTAAAATTGTTCCCGCTTGGGGCAGCAGTTCCTGAAAGAATGACTTATTGCCAACCTCACCAATTGCAGCAAATTTTGGACCAGTTTCGAGACGTGTTCAACAATCCCAAGAGCTTACCCCCTCCACGAGTCCATGAATTTCATTGCAAACTGGAATAGGGCTGGTATGTGTTAGACCTTATCGCTACCCACATTATCAGAAGGCAGAAATTGAGAAGTTAGTGAAGGAGATGCTCTCTATAGGTGTGATTAAACCCAGCAACAGTCCTTACTCTTCACCTATTATCTTAGTAAAAAAGCACGATGGTTCATGGCGCATGTATGTTAACTACCGCGCTCTCAATAAGATCACTATCAAGGACCAATTTCCTATCCCCGTTATTGATGAGTTACTGGATGAATTACATGGGGCAAAAATCTTCTCAAAGCTTGATTTGCGAAGTGGGTATCACCAAATTCGAGTAGTACCGGAGGACACTTCAAAGACAGCTTTCAGAACACATCATGGTCATTGCGAATTGTTGGTAATGCCGTTCGGTCTTACCAATACACCATCCACCTTCTAAGTTTTGATGAACGAGAAGGAAAAATGTCAATTTGGTCAAGGCAAGGTGTACTATCTCGGCCATGTAATTTCCAATACTGGGGTTGCCGTTGATCCTGATAAAATAACAGTGATGCAAGGATGGCCTAAGCCTAAAACACTAAAGGCCCTAAGAGGTTTCCTCGGGTTGACTAGGTATTACCCAAAGTTTATCCAAAATTTTGGAAAAATAGCTAGACCCCTTACTAGAATGTTGAAAAAAGACTCATTTGAATGGATGCCAGCTACTGATGAAACCTTTTGAAGGTTGAAGGAAACAATGACAAAAGCTCCAATGTTGGCTTTGCCTGATTTTTCAAAACAGTTTATTGTTGAATGTGATGCTAGCGGATCAGGAATTGGAGTTGTCCTAATGCAAGTCCAGTAGCATTTTACAGCCATGCCTTACAGGGTAAGAACTTGTTGCTGTCCATATATGAGAAGGAGATTCTAGCTTTTGTATTGGCCGTACAAAGGTGGCATCCTTATCTGTTGGGGCAACAATTTTTGGTGCGAACAGACCAACATAGCTTGAAGTGCTTATGGGATCAAAGGTGTAATACCCCTAATTTTAAGAAAGGATAGTCTGGGTATTTTAATTAATGTTTTTTAGATTTTATTGCATTTTTATTTAATTATGTGACTTACTTGCTTAATTGACTATTTGTGTGTATATAAATTAATTATTTAATTGTAATTGTGTATTTATTTATAGTAATTGTTTAATTGTGTAATTATGATTTAATTTATTTATTTGTTTAACTGGTATTTTAAATGACGTGTTTTATTTTATGGTGTGTATAATTTATTTGTGTTATGTCTGTATGCTTAGTTGGACTTGGTTGATTTAATTTATAGGGTCGTATTTATGGTTTAGGTTTAAGGTTTTATTTTATAAGGTTATGGTCGCCAACTTAAGATAACAGCTTATATATAGAACAATATACGTTTGCTAAGGTTAGAAAACCCTATTCACGTAATAGTTATTGAAAGGGAAAATAGAGGCACACGGAATGGTTTTTTGAGAGAAAAACATAGGAAGCTTGAGAGGGAACTGTGAGAACCACCGGTTAGGAGTTCAGCCGTGGACTGAAGGTCGTATCAAGGAGGGAGGAATGGATGGCTTGTGGGATTGAAATCGAGCGGTAGGAGGTTTGCCGGTAGTCGACAGTCGTTGGAGAATTTAGAGACAATGTTGAAAGGTTTCAAACCGAAACTAAAAGGCAAGTTTCATTCTATCTCCTTCATGTAAACTTGTATTCTGTGCATGCCTAGGTAGACTCCAGGGGTTTAATTAATGCTAAAAACATATCTTTTATGCATGTTTAAACTGTATTAAAATTCTTTGAATTAAACTGGTTTGGGATTGCTTAAAAATTTCTAAATGAATCTTGCTGCCGTTGGTTTTTAAGCTTTGTTAATTTTATGTTGTTGATGCATAACAATGTCTTATAATTAATTTAGGACATTGATTGAACCTTAGAACAAGTAATAAAAATATTACAGAGGCTCTGGGTGTCGCCGGAGGCAAAGAAAACCAAGGAATATGGACGACGGCTTTAAAGGGAAAGAGAGCAGGCTCCCAAAAGGAGGGAGCCAGCTCCCTCAAAGATAGAGCCGGCTCCTAGGGGTGTGGAGACGGCTCCAAGGCTGCAAGAGCTTGCTCTCCCATGTGGGGAGATGGCTCTCAAGAGAAAAGAGCAGGTTCTCAATTGTTTGGAGCTTGCTCTTGCCCTAGAAATTGTAAAAACTGACTTTTAGGGTGCTGTTTGGCTGTCTGGGGTATTTTTAACTTGTTTAAACTGTGATTAATGGTCTAAATAAATGTTTTAGTTGTATAAAAATACCTAGAAGCATTAGTACATTGATATAACAAGGAGTGGAACAACATAAAGTTAAATAGAAAACCTGCATGTTGAGTACCGACTAGTGATTTAAATGCTTTCTTAAACTTTAGCAATTATTTCTTGGCATGAGTTAATATTGTTTAGTCATGTTTCAGTAGTGTTATAAGCGTAGCTAATTATCTAAAAATAATTAGGGTTAGTTTTGATTAATTGATGTTTTAATCATGCTGTCCAGGAAGGAGGAAGACATAATTTCTAGTTTGTTTAGCAAACTAAATGGACCGGTATGAAAGTTATGTTTTGGACTTTACTGTAAGGATATATATAATTTAATAAAGGCCAGGAATATTGGTTTATACTGTGTTAGTGGACTCTATGAAATTTGATACTAGTTGCATGTTGTCACGGAGTATGGAAGTTTTGTTTCTAGTGGTCGTTGTAATAAGTTAAACGGACTAATAGGAATGTATTTCAGGATGGGTGTAATACCCCTAATTTTAAAAAGGATAGTCTTGGCATTTTTAACATATTTATTGTATTGCCTTTTAATTTATTTTATTATCTTTATCGCATTTTTATTTAATTGGTTATTTGAAATTTGAATTAAATTGTTTTATGTGATTATTTGGTTTAATTGTTGTTTACCTATGTGTCATGTGTTTTAAATTGAATTAAGTGTTTTTAATTATTTAATTGGGTTTTTAATTGGAATTAATTAGTTATGCGGATTTAATTATTTAATTGTTTTTTTATTTAATGCTGTGTTAAGTTACAGTTAACTTTGGGGTTGGAAATTTCACGTTTAGGTAAGCCGTAACAAAGGTAGTTTCTTGGGCCGACTAGGTTTAGAATTAGGGCTCTGTCTCTGATTAAACACGGATTAGGGTTTATGTTTTTACGCCTATATATATATGGTTACTCTGTATCAAGGGTTGGAAAAAAAACCCTATTCACGTACCAAAGATACAGAGAGAGAAACAGAGAGCAGTTGTGGGGAAAACAGAGTGAGGCTTAAGAGGAAGTGTACAGAGAGGACCAAGGAGGTATTAGGAGGCTAGACAGTGTTGCAGTGGTTACCGGACGTTGGGAAGACGGCGACAAGTTTTGAGTCCAAAACTTCAGGCAAGTTCTTTTCTTCCTCCTTCCCGTTGGCCTGTGTTCTGTGCACCTAGACATACTCTAGGGTTCTAATGGATCAATAATTGAATTAAGCATGTTTTTATATGTCAATTTAACCTTATCTTTGCCTTGAATGAATTCGGTGATGGTTTTTTAAAGTTCATTACAGTAGTTGTTTTCCTAAGCATGATTTGTCTGTGGAACTTGTAGTTTTTGTTTTTGATTTCAACTGTTGTAAACACTCCATGGGGATTATATTGGACATAGTTAGGACCCTTGGGAACAGTCTAAAACTAAATAAAATGGATGGGAAGCGGCCGGCGTTGAAGAAGAAGGTCGCAGAAGTCACAGACGGACAGACGGCTCTCAGAGAGGGAGAGAGCCGGCTCCATGGAGGAGGGAGCCGGCTCCCCCCTAGTGTAGAGCCAGCTCTAGGAAGTGTAGAGCCAGCTCTACCCAAGTAGAGCAGGCTCCAATAAAAATTGGAGCCGGCTCCCCCTTTGTTTATAACCTGTTCTCGCTCAGTTTGCTTCCGGAAGGTGTTTAATGCACTATTTGAAGCTGTTGTGTGTTGGAACTGTAAAAAAAAAAAAATATTGGGACTTGCCATGGGGATTAAGAAGTTAACTTTGGGTATTAAGAGGTCTTTTAATTGATTAAAGTTTACCTCTAAATTAACGGAACAAACTGTATAAAATTTTATGCATATTGTACACGATTAAGGGATATAAGAAGACTTAATTGCTCAAGCTTATTTTTGAGCATTCCAGTGGGATCTAATATGTTTATAAATTGTTCTAAATACATTATAGGGTCATTGATGTATTGAAGTTGACCTATGCATGCTTTGGAGGCTAATTGTTGAAATAGTAAATACTTTCTGCAATGATATGGATTATCGTTTGGATTTTTAATTGCTAGAACATCAAATATCTTCCTGCAATTATTTGGATAATGTTTTGGAATGTAATTTACTAAATTATGATTTCTATATTGTAATTGGCATTGATATGGAGGATTATATGCACCGGTATGGGACGGTGGCATACTAGGGATGGTTTAGCTTCAAAACGCTAAGACCTAACCTAATGGATTAATGGAATGGATTGAAAGATATCGAATCCTAATTGTGGCTAAGTCAGATCAACTGTAACCAAGTTGGATGACTTCCTGGATTAACGGATGGTAGTTACGTCATATTAACTGAATAAGTTGAGTGACCAACTCGTTGGTTTATTGTAGGTCAGTTTAATAAATAGTTGAACTGCTTACCCTGGATTTGGACGGATTATATATATATGTTTATGGTACCACGAGTTGAGCTTGAGTCTCAGACTTGTTGGTTAGGGTGCGTATATGCAGTGGATGCGTAGCTGGTTATAATAGGTTGAGGTGTACCCTGTTAGGTCTAGGTACTCATGCCCACCTTTGGGTGCGTATTCGCATGTTGCCTTCTATTCAGGTTGAGACCCCTATTATAGACTAGTGAATGTCCCTTAGTGTGGATATATTTATACGTATGGACTAGATAGATATTGTGAGGTGTCTACGGTGTATCTGCGTATCGGGTCACTGTATGGATTGCAGTTAGATTAGAACTTGCTCGTGGGTCTGACCCACTTCTTTATTATTCTTTTCAGGTACAGGACGGTTCCAGCCTTAGAGCTTGATCGTGCTTGTCGAGGACAGTCTCACTTCCATCTGATTACGTAGGACTTCTCTCGATGTTTCTAGTATTATCTATTTTCAGTTTCATTCTCAGTTGAACTTTTAGTTAGGGGTCCATCAGTGGATTCCCAAGTTGTAACTTTGAAGTTTTGGAGGATTGGAGTTTCAATTTTCAGTTATACATGGAGGATTTTATAATTAATGTTTCTTTCAGTTTTATTCTATCTTTATTGTTCTTTTTGTTATCTGTGTTCGTTTTAAAATACTTTAATTGTTTAATATTCCCTCGGGTTTGAGCCTGGGCCTGATCAACCCGTGTCTCGGATCTGAGGGGTATCACAATGGGAGTGTAGGTGCTCAGTTTATACTTGTGAGCATCAATAGATTATGCTTTGGATTCATAATTTGGAATTTAATGAACATCATGAAATTTATATTATAAGTTACATGCTGTTAAGGATTGTGGAAGGTTTAAATTACTAGTCTTGCCTAGTGTATTTCATGGACTGGTATGAAAGTATCTTTGGGATTTTGGTTTGATATGCTCAGTTGATACCACTGATTATCATTATATATACCATGTTATGGATGTTAATTGATGAACTGTTTTAATTTATGTTCTGTCAATTATGTGGATATGGATAGTTTGAATTGTTTAATATTACTTTAGCAATTTATACGGAGGTTCTATGATTATAATCATATACTGGATGCATGATAGGATCTTATCTATATCTGATTTCTATTATGTTGG